AACATAAAAAAATTCTTTATTCTGAAAATAAGCTACTCCTGATAATTTTTTAAAATCCATAAGTAGTTTCTATATATAAAAGACAAAATTCTACTAAGTAAACCAATAAAAGTCAATTAATAAAAGTTATTTATAATGTAAAAATACACATATTCTAAATGTTTTAAGCAAATTGAAGAACTTTTTACTAAGATGTTTTGTATTTTATGTTTAAATATAAAATGTAAAAAATGTCTTAGTAAAAAGTTCTTCAATTTGCTTGAAATATTTAGAATATGTATATTTTTATGTTATAAATAACTTTTATTAATTAACTTTTATCATTTTACTTAGTTGAATAACTTTTATTACTTAACTTTTATTATTTTACTTAGTCTTTTATATATAGAAACTACTTATGGATTTTAAAAAAATAATAATTAACTTTTCTAAAATTTTACTTAAAAATAAGCTACTCATGATATTCATTAGCAAAATATATAAACAAAAACTAATGAAAGTTATTACAGCCTAAAATATTTCGAAATAATTACAAATAATGCTGCATATTTGGAATTTTTAATTTCGAAATATTACGGAATTTATTTTGAAATATTATGAAATTTTATTTTGAAAAATTATATAATGATTTTTGAAATATTTTGAAAATAAGTTAAAATATTTCAGAAGTACTATATTTTGAATAGTTGTAAAATAATTCAATGTATATAACAACAAAATAAAACTTTATAAAATAAATTATTAGTTTATTTGTGCTAACAAATTCAAAAGGTTTCAAAGCATTTCTAAAAATTACATAAGATTGTGCAATATTTCAAAATAACTAAAATTATATTTATTTATTAAATAATGTATACAGAATTTTATTTATTATATATAATATATTGAATATTTAAATATATCAATATTACATATTTATTATATCATATTTAATACATTATACTATTTATTATAAATTAATATCTACAAAATATCTAAAATCGTCTCCAAGACCATCGTGTCTAATTTTCATTACTATTTATTAATTCATATTTCCCAAGTCGTGCTTTATTTAAATTAGTATTACAGTAATTGCATTTCAATAAAACTCTCTCATTTTGATAAAGCCAAAATCTATAAAAAAAAAGAAAGAATTGTTACACTAAAAAGAAAAATTGAAACAATAAAAACAAACTAGTAAAAAAAAACTAGTACATATCTCTAAGACTAGTTTCAGTTCTGTTACTACTTATCTTCAAGACTGGTTACATTGTTGTAATTAAACTTGTTCACAAATGAATAAATAAGATCACTATTACAAGACCAGAAGGAAAGAAAGCAAACCATTCGTTGCCCGAAGTATTACCTGAAAAAAAGAAGAATAGTGGCAGTCAAACACATTCACAAATAAAAAAACAAGAACTACTATGAAATCGAAAGAAAGAAAACCTATAATTTAGAAGAAAAAAATCAAACAATTACTACCAACCTTAGTAAAGACGGAAAAGAAGAAAGAAGAGTTGTGGTAGTCAAACATGTTTACAAATAGAGAAATAAGACTACTACTACAAGACTAGAAGGAAAAAAAGCAAACAGTTTGTTGCCCAAAGCATTATCTAGAAAGAAGAAGAATGGTAGCAGTCAAACATATTCCAAATAGAGAAACAAGAACTACTATGAAATTTTTTTTTTTAATTTTAAAGGTGTAGCACCCATATTTAGACTTTATTAATATTTAAATGATTAACATATGATGGTGCCTATACATATATATATTAGTTCAAGTACTAAGACTAGGACATCAGGTATACAAACCATTTATCCATGGCTAAAACCCACCAGAGCCGACTGTATTTCCACTACACAGCTGATCTGAATTTGTACATCCCTTTCCAACCACCAATTAGTATTCACATATCTGCCACATTACCCATATTACCTACTCTTTCAACTCCCAAATCGGTGTGTGTTGCTCCAGGTAGGTGCTTGTTGCTTTCAGTTTGGTGTGCCTGACAGAGAATTACTCCCTTAGTTCCTACTGGCATACTTCCAGGAGTTTGTATCTCAAGCCATGCAGCTGCCTCTACCCAATTGAGTAAGTATTTTAAGCCTGTATGTTGTTATAACTAGCTGGTTTCCTGCGACTTTGGAACCCAGATCTTAATGTATCTATTTTGGTAATTGTGCTAACAACTGTACTCCCCAATATGGTAACGAGACCCCAGGTATGTTTTGCAGAATACTTCCAGTAGTTAATATAGTTAGATGGCATCATGAGACTCAGAGGTAACAGGTGCATTATCATTTCTCTTTATGGTGATTCTCGGCAGTTGTAGCCTTCGATTACCACTGCATGCACTTATACTAGCTATACCTTATTGGTGTTTTCAAGTTCTCTTAACACCCAAAAGCTCCTATATACAGTGTTGTATATTTTTGAATGTTTGAGTAAATTTGACGGACCGGACATTTTCGGACATTGTCTAATGTCCGAGTCTGAATTTTGCCCATATGAATATATTGTCACTCAAACAATGTCTGAGTAATATATCTCAGACTCGGACACTCGGACACAGATATTTTCAAACATGTCCGAGTTTTGTAATATGAATTTTATTTCCTCACATTCCCGAATATACTGTTTCTCAAAAATAAATTAGTAATTGGTATTTAACTTTGAAGTTTGAAGTAAAATTTTAAAAGTTTTATAGATTGATGCATATAGCATTTATTATCTTTAAATAACCACTTTTATTAATTTATTTATATCACGTAACAAAATGCTTAAGCCATCATTGCGCAATAAGTGTTTCTAAAATGTAACAAATGTGATTAATAAATCCTACTTGAATTTTAACACTAACCCTAACTGTTAATCTATACCATTAACCCTAACTATATCACTAATCCTAATCTTAAATTAATTGTAGTTGTACTACGAAAAACCTACCATAGTTTGCTCCAAAAAAACCTACCACCAGCTATATTCAATAACCCACTATTAAAATACCAAAGTATCAACTAATAATACAAAATGATGGAACTAGCACAAATAAAAATAAAATACCAGTATATGCTGACATCAACAAACGACAAAATCAGCTAGAGCGAAACGCAACACTGACATATGACAATACCAAATGATGGTACCAACATACCGGGTGGATGAAAAGTAACAGAACAGTGACCTTTTTTAATCACTATAATTATCATTAATATTTAGTAGTCCTTGCAATAAATTAAAATTCAATGATTACTAAACATTAAAATGAGAATCATAATAACTAAAAAAAGTCACTGTCAGCTACTTTTTACCTACTTGGTATACTGTAGTTTCGTTACTAGCAAAAACAGAATCTTGAAGACAACACTAATCAAAACAATGGCACCAGCAAAGCGAAATACCTAGAAGATATTATTAATCAAAATGATAGCATCAAGCAACAAACGACGACAACGACAGTACCAATAAACAGCAACACCGGTAAAAACCAAGGCATCAACAACTAGATACTACACCACAGCCATCAAACTATAACGACTTCAATGACAACGCTATCAAAAAGAAAAAACTAATTAATAAAAAGAAATTCAAATGCAAATAAATAAAAATTATACTTATATATTGTCGATTCGTGTAACTAGTAGTGGTGTTTGGTGAATTTTTATTTATTATTATCATTATTGTCTGCAGGATATTATGCAACTAATCTTTCACCTAGTGTGCAACACATAAAAAAATTATTTTACAATACTAGATCTTTTCGCTATTACATATCTGCATATTATAATTATAATCCAACACCTGTTTTATTATAATAAAATGGTGTTGGATTATAATTATAACATGGTATTGTAAAATAATTTTTTATATGTTACATACCAGGTGAAAGATCGTTGTGTAATATTAATATTTTCTCCTGCTTGCTTATATAGATTTGTCTGGCGGACAAACTTGATTGTCTGAATCCAGTCCGAGTTCGAATTTGGTCCAGTCTGAGTGACAATACTGCCCATATAGGTACGACCAGAGCCCATTAGATCTATCAATGTGTATATGCCTCCATGCTTCAACTTCTTATTGGCTAGTGAGTTCCATACTGCCAGAGGTGTTCCAAATCTGGTAAAACCAATTCTTTATCACAGATTTCTTTGTGTTGACCACATTTTTCACCACTTCTAATTCTGGTTACTGCCTAGTTATCCTCCTAAACAAGATTCCCAATGCCGTCTTAGGGGTTGTTGGTGCTACCTTGCCAATCACAGATTTACATGCACAATCTTTGTGTAATAGAACCTTCTATAATGACCAACATTACACATAGTGCCAACTACTCCACAATGGACCTCTTTTCAGAAATTTCTAATCAAGACTTGTATTCACTTGGACTTCCCATGGCAGATACTTCCAAATATTTGTAAGTAAACGTACTTACTTGGACTTGAACCCGAAATCCGCTCGTGAAGGGTTGGGTGCCTAGACTACTAGGCTGTAGGATCCTAACCCTAACTACTATGAAATTAGAAGAAAGAAAACCTATAATTCAGAAGAAAAAAAAAAGCCAAACAATTACTATTAACCTTAGTAGAAATAGAAAAGAAGGAAGAAGAGTTGTGATAATCAAACATGTTCACAAATAGAGAAATAAGACTACTACTACAAGACTAAAAAGAAAAAAAGCAAACTGTTTGTTGCCCAAAGCATTACTTGGAAGGAAGAAGAATAGTGGCAGTCAAATACATTCACAAATGGAGAAACAAAAACCACCACAAAATCGAAAAAAAGAAACCCCATAATTCAGAAGAAAAAAAAAAGCCAAACAATTACCACCAATCTTAGTAGAAATAGAAAAGAAGAAAGAAGAGTTGTAGTAGTCAAATGTGTTTACAAATAAGAAATAAAACTACTATCACAAGACTAGAAGAAAAAAATCAACTCATTTATTGTCTGAAGCACTATCTAGAAGGAAGAAGAATAGTGGCAATTAAACATATTTACAAATAAAAAAACAAGAACCACTATGAAATCGGAAGAAAGAAACTCCATAATTCAGAAGAAAACAAAAAGCCAAACAATTACTATCAACCTTAGTAGAGACAAAAAAGAAGGAAGAAGAGTTGTGGTAGTCAAACATGTTCATTATAGAGAAATAAGACTACTACAAAACTAGAAGAAAAGAAAGCAAACTATTTGTTGCCCAAAGTATTATCTGAAAGAAGAAGAATAGTGGTAGTCAAACACATTCACAAATAAAGAAACAGGAACCACCACGAAATCGGAAGAAAGAAACCCTACAATTCAGAAAAAAACAAAAAGCCAAACAATTATCACCAATCTTAGTAGAGATAAAAAAGAAGAAAGAAGAGTTGTAGTAGTCAAATGTGTTCACAAATAGAGAAATAAAGCTACTACCACAAGACTAGAAAGAAAAAAAGCAAACTGTTTATTGCCCAAAGCGTTACCTGGAAGAAAAAAGAATGGTGGCAGTCAAACATATTTACAAATAGAGAAACAAGAACTACTATGAAATCGGAAGAAAGAAACCCATAATTTAGAAGAAAAAAAAAAAAGCCAAACAATTACCACCAACCTTAGTAGAGACAGAAAAGAAGAAAGAAAAGTTGTAGTAGTCAAATGTGTTCGCAAATAGAGAAATATAGTAAGACTACCACAAGCCAGAAGAAAAGAAAGCAATGATTCAAAAGGCAAGCAATAATCACCAAGCCCAAACTATTTGTTGCCTGAAGTATTACCTAAAAGAAAGAAAAGTAGAAAGTATGCCCGAATTGTTGTCTAAAGTATAATCTAGAACAAAATAATAGTCAAACATATTTACAAATTAAGAAGTAAAAACAAGAGTAATAAATAGTATTCACCAAGGACCAAAAGAAAAAAACTCTAATTCGTAAAAGCGATTACCAATCTTAACTGTAATTCTGAAAGGAAAAAGAAAAGTAAATATATATATTAACAAAAAATAAATAAAATAAATAAATAAATAATAAAATTAAATCGAAAGATCAAAAGATAAAAAAAGTTAAATTAAAAAAAAATTAAAATACAAAAAAATCTAAACAAAGATCTAATCTAATAAAGATTCTGCAGTTTATACAATACAAAGTATAAAATATACATATATATATACAAAGATTTTTGTAATACTATATATAAAATTACTAATGCTAGCTATAAACAATTAAGTATTTTCAAATAACCTTCAAAATATTTCAAAATAAAATCTTTTGAATTATTTTGCAATATTTTTCGAAAGATTTTGAAATTAGTTATAAAATTATTATATTTCGCAATTTTTCAAAATTTCTTTTGAAATATTATAGTTTTTTTATATGGGATTTATTTTATAGTGCTATGGCATTATAATGCTATAGCACTATAGTGCTATAGTATTATATATAATTTATTTTATATTTTTTATATTTATTTATATATACAGTATATATATACAGTATATATATATATTATATATAATATATAATGTATACTAAGGAGGTGTGGCGACTTAGTGAAGTGGTCTAGTTGTCACCCTCACCAAACGTTATGAGAAGATCCCATGTTCAAATCCC